GGCTGCGGCTTCGCTTAACTGCGGGCCCCCCAAGACACCCAGCGAGCTGCTGCTGCTGCTGCTGCTGCTGCTGTTGCTGCTGCTGCTGCTGTTGTTGCTGCTGCAGTTGCTGCTGCAATAGATGCTGTTGCAGCAGCAGCTGCTGCTGCTGCTGTTGCTGCAGCAGGCGGAATCCTGCTGCAGGGCAGCAGCTAAGGGGGGCCCCCCGCAGCCGGCAGAAGAAGAGGGGGCCCCCCATGGTGCTGCAGCAGCAGCAGCAGCAGCTGCTGCTGCTGCTGCTGCTGCTGTTGTTGCTGCTGCGGCACCTTGCAGCAGCTAATGCTGCCGCTGTGGGCACAGCAACTGGGGCTCTCCTTTGTGTTGCTGCTGCTGCTGCTGTTGCTGCTGCTGCTGTTGCTGCTGCTGTTGCTGCTGCTGTTGCTGCTGCTCGCTGCTGCCGATGACCCTACAAAACCCTAAACCCTAAACCCTAAACCCTAAACCCTGAACCCTAGACCCTAAACCCTAAACTCTTTTAATATTATAATTTTATTAACAATTTTTATTTATATTTCAGCTGTATGTACACCAGAAGGTTGCGGGGGCCCCCGGGGGGCCCCTGTGGGGCCGGCAGTACCCGGGGGCCCCCAAGGGTTTAGGGTTTAGGGTTTAGGGTTTAGAAGTTAGGGTTTAGGGTTTATAATTTAGGGTTTAGGGTTTAGGGGTGAATTTGTTTTAGCTGCTTTATACAGATCTACAGAACCGCAGCGCAGCACTGCTGCTGCTGCTGCTGTTGCTGCTGCTGCTGCTGCTGCTGCTGCTGCCTTCGTTAGGATTCTACGGCGAGGGTTTGTTGCATGCATGCTGCTGCAGCAGCAGCAGCAGCAGCAGCAACAGCAGCAGCAGCAGCAGCTGCAGTAGCTGCAACAGCAGCAGCAACAACAGGAGAGACAGTAGCAGCAACTGCTGCTGCTGCTGCTGCTGCAGTTACTCTGCTGTCTACAGCCAGGGTCTAGGGTTTAGGGTTTAGGGTTTAGGGTTTAGGGTTTAGGGTTTAGGGAGATGAAGCTCAACAGTTTTAAGGCCCTGCGCATCGGCGCGCTACCTGGCTCTCCCTTTGGATATGAGGTAAACCCTAAACCCTAAACCCTAAACCCTAAACCCTAAACCCTAAACCCTAAACCCTAGTTTATAGATTGACGATGAGGTCTGATCGCTAAACCCTAAACCCTAAACCCTAAACCCTAAACCCTCGTGTGTGTTTCAGGTATTGATAAGAGCTGCTGAGGCGTCTCCTATAAGCACTGCAGCAGCAGCAGCAGCAGCAGCAGCAGCAACAGACGGTGCAGCAGCACAAGAAGCATCAGTAGCAGCAGCAGCAGCAGCAGCAGCAGCAGCAGAAGAGGGACGAGCTCTCTTTATATGCAACGCCCCGCTGCTGCTGCAGCAGCAGCAGCTGCAGCAGCTGTTTGCTGCTTTTGGTTCTGTTGAGGCCATATACGATAAAATGATAGAACAAAAAATTAATAAAAAAACCGTAAACCCTAAACCCTAAACCCTAAACCCTAAACCCTAAACCCTAAACCCTTATTGTGAAACCCTAAACTCGAAACAGAAACCCTAAACCCTAAACCCTAAACCCTCAATTAGAACACGTATTCCCTAACTACTACCATATATCCCCTAGATAGTAACCCTAACCCTAAACCCTAAACCCTAAACCCTAAACCCTAAAATATTATATAAATTCCCACTATCTATCTAGGGTTTAGGGTTTAGGGTTTAGGGTTTTGTGTTTTTTTCTCAGCTCGTCTGTGTCCGCCTCGTCCACATTATCTTTACAGATGCAGCAGCAGCAGCTCGCGCTTTTGCTGCTGCAGTACCCCTGCAGTGGGGGCCCCCTGGGGGCCCCCAGGGGGGCCCCCCTGGGGGCCCCCAGGGGGGCCCCCCTGCGGGGGGTGTTTGCGGGTGGGGTTGTGAGGGTTTGTGGCGAGGGTTTAGGGTTTAGGGTTTACGGTGCAGGGATGTTGATGCTTTTATGCGGAGCTACGACCTCGCCAAGGATTTAAGAAAACAACAAAGAAACAAAAAAATTATAGATGAAGACGGATTCATACTTGTGCAGGGGTACACAAACCCTAAACCCTAAACCCTAAACCCTAAACCCTAAACCATCGATCGTAAACCCTAAAGCACTGTAAAAGTTGCAAAAAAATATCGTGTGATGAATTTCTATGAGTTTTTGTTTATGTTTATTTTGTATATATATATTTTTTTTTTTTTTTTTTTTTTTTTTTTT